GCGGAACGGGCCCCCCGTGGCCTGCGGTCCCCCAGCCGGCAGAGGGGAGTACCGCGGCATCGACGGGGGAGCCTGCCTGCCGAGTGTGGACCAAGGTAAGTTTGAACTAATTCGAAATAAGGTACTTCGAACTTCAGCTACGTTATTCACGTAGCTGAAGTTGCGTACCTTAGTTCGAATTAGGGGGGGTAGTGTAGACCAAGCCTAACAGAAGTATTGGGAGCATAAGCTTTTGTGGGTAAGAACCTCACTTCTTCAGATGCAAGTAATGGAAATATCCAGAGGCATGTATAAATCAGTATGGAGATAATGAGGTTAGTTCAATCAGGGAAGGTGAGGTGCTCTGCTAGCAGTTGAGGTGTGAACACCAAGGGAGGAGAAACTGCTTCTGTAGTTGGATAGCCATTCACAGTCTTTGTTTAATCCTGATCTGATGGTGTCAAATTTGCAAATGAACTGGAGCTCAGCAGTTTCTCTTTGGAGTCTGGTCCTGAAGTTTTTTTGCTGTAAGATGGCTACCTTTACATCTGCTAGTGTGTGGCCAGGGAGGCTGAAGTATTCTCCTACAGGTTTTTGTATATTGCCATTCCTGATATCTGACTTGTGTCCATTTATCCTCTGTCACTACGCACTTGTGTGGTTTTTTTTCTTTTAAAACATCAGATGTTAGCTGATCTGCTTAATACTAATATTTTCCCACTCTATTACCATCTATGTAACCTGATAATTTCCACCAAACTACAACAATTTGTTGGTTTGTGTTGGTTTGCCACCTCATCTGATTTATCTTGAAACATTTCAGTTCTTCAGTGAAAATATTCAGCCCACACCTATCCATGTGAACTCATGAGGAAAGTACCACATGGCTGAGACTTTGCAACTATTAAATTCCCATTATGCTTCCACCCTTGGGCCTTTTTGCAACAGATGTTATTGTGAGTCTTTTGCCTTTTTAGCCATCAATCAGTGAGTTCAACTCAGGGCTACCAGTCACACATGTTTTCTTTGTTTTGTCTTGCATACCCAATAATATGTAAAACTACATTAATGAAAAGGAATTGGCATTAAAATAAATTATGGGAGATCTTTACTTTAAGCAATAGAACAACATTTACTTCTTCTGTTATTTGGATATGCCAATGTTGCTCTTTGCATAAGCTAGGAATTTGGGTTCACTTTATTTTGACCATTACAAGCCCTTGTCTACATTCGGAGTCCTGTGTGCAAATAGAGTGAAATGTTGGATGGTGTAATGGGGTCGCACTCACCTCTCACAAGCACCTCCTGGTCAAGTGCATGTGCCTGCACTCTCTGTTTGTGGTGGGTCTTCGGTGACTCAGCCCTCCGGCCAAGTCATACACAGTCTGCCTGTGAGATAAAAGCAATGAAAACCCCTTTCAGGGTACAAGTCAAGCAAGGCCTCTCTCAGTGCCCTCTGATGTCTCTCTGTTTGTCCCTGATCTAGAATAGAGCAGTGCCCCAGGTCTCCTTCCCTGGAGGCAGGGTCTTCACCCTCTCAGGGCCTTTCTGGCCCCATCTTTTCAGCTGGGCCACTACAGTTCAGTTCCCCTTCTGGAGTGTCTCAAAGTCAAGGCCATTTTCCCAGTGGCTGGAGAAGGGGGGAGCCAGGCCCACCCTCTACTCTGGGTTCCAGCCCAGGGACCCTGTAGATAGCAGCCATCTGCCATCTCCCTTTAAATAAACTGCATTCCCTGGGCCACTTCCCCATGGCTCCAGCACATTCTTCACCCTTATCTCAGGGTCTTATCTTGGTGGAGTCCCAACAGCCAACCCAGAGTACCATCCACTCTCCTCCAGCTCAAGCAAGGAACTGGCCCCTCACCGCTTATATGAGACTGCTGGGCCCTGATTGGCTGCTTCCCTCACAGCCGCTACTGCCCTTTCCTGGGGAGGGATGTGGTAAAGCCACAAGGCCTCCAGCAGGGGGCCACAGGACCTAGTCCACCCCATCACAGGTGGTAAGCCTATACTACAGAAAACAATGAAATATCCTCTCTGGAAGCCAAGCTATTTAATGAAGTGTGAGGACAAAATTTAGCCAAGTACAGTACAATATAAAATCACAGAAATGTAGGGCTGGAAAGTGCCTTGAAAGATCATCTAGTCCATCCCCCACACTGAGGAAGGATCAAGTAAACCTAGACCATCCCTGAAAGGCGTTTGTCTAACCTGTTCTTAGAAACCTCCAATGATGGGGATTACACAGTCTCCCTTTGTAGACTATTTTAGTAGTTAACAATCCTTAGAGTTAGAATTTTTTTTCCTAACATTTAACCTAAATCTCTCTTGCTACAGTTCATCTGATTGCTTCTTGTCCTACTTTCATTGCCTATACATACAGTGATGGTATGATGAGATTCTTTATAGGTTTTCATTAATTTATTACGCTTTTGCCAATGTGTATTAGGAGGGATTTCATTAGCTTTATTTGCAGACAGACAGTTAAATATGCTGTTACTACTGCTATTTCTGTTGCTGCTATTATCAGTCTTGATTCTTTCCTTTTTACTCTCATATGTATTTGGAAAGCCATTCATATTCTAGGAGACGCAATGTATTTTCATGAAGGAAAAAGAAGTGACGCTTTAACAAATGTTTGTTAAAGAAACCAGTGTTTGAATCTAGTGACAATTTCCCCCTTACACTGTGGATTGAATAAGATTGTGCTAACACCACCATTATAGTGTTAATGCATTTTATTTTTGATTGCAGAGGCCCACAGGATTGAAGGCTTGGTCTTCTTCATACTCCATATGATTTTGTCTGATCTAGTCTGTAAGGTCCTTGGGGCAGAGAGAATGTTTTCCTTTTTCTATGTCATTGAATGGCACTCATTAAAGTGTTTTCCAAAGACAGGTAAGTTTGTTTCATGACAACTTGTTTCATACACCTGCATTCTCTCAGCAAGTGATGTAAAGACATTGTTTGCGCTTTAAGAAGGATACATTAGGAAGAAACCACTGTACTCAGCTTTTAATGACTTGGGGCCATCACATTGGGTTGCTTCTGATTCTCTTTTTTTTTTCTATAGCTTTGTCCACAAATTTTCTGATCTTATTGATGTGTGTGGAGTAAATGGAATGAACAGGGCCAAATTTAAACTGCCTGTGCTTGGAAGCTCACTATCGCATTCATTCCATAGCCCTCGCCCAGAGATGCATAACACAAAAATACCTTGTTTCAGGTATAATTAGAGTATAATGCACAATGTGCTGTGTGTGGTGGTGTTTGACAGGTAATACAGAAATCAGGTGCATTACTTTTTCTGTTGATTCACATTAAACTACACATTAAAACTCAATGTACATGGTCATTTCAGTTAATTTAGCTGTCTGGATTAAATTGAAAATATATCCCCTTTAACCAGCATATTCCTGAAAAGGAATTGGAAAATACTTTTGATGCTCCTATATGCCTCTTGTCTGCCTCTATTTTTGTCCACGTGTTAGGGTGGCATGAGCTCACTCACAAACTAATATTCCATTTTCAATAGGACCAAATGAATCAGGTAACTACATGTTAATATTGACAGCTTGCTTACCATAACATGTCTGTAGAAATCTGTTATACTGACAAATGTCTCACGAAAACTGAATTTCTATCTTGTACTCTTTAAACAAAATCCCCTTAAAGTCAGTGTATCTAATGTATCTGTAGAGTCCCCAGTACTGTAGTATCTGAGCACCTCACAATCTTTAATATATTTATCTTCACAACTCCCCTGGGAAGTAGGAAGTGCTGCTATCCCCATTTTATGGATGGGGAACAGAAGCTCAATGAGATGAAAAGTGAAATTTTCAAAAGCACCTAAAGCCCAAATACTAAAAGGCACATAAAATACGTTTGAGGATATGTCCCTAAATGACATAGGCACAAGTAGCCTGACTCTTATTTACTTTCAGTGAGACTTAGGATATCATTTTCAAAAGTGCTGAAGTCCCATTTTCAAAAGTGACTCATTCAAAGTCAGTGGGACTTTGGTGCCTAAGTGTCTAAATCACTTTTTAAATTTAGATTGAGCTGGTTTTCAAAATTTTACCCTAATCGCCATGCCGAAAGTCACACAGGAAGTTAGTAGTGGAGCAGGGAATGGAACCCATATCTTCTGTATTCTGAGCTAGCGCCTTCACCTTCCTTTTGGGGTTGTGCTTGACCAAAAAGTGCCAAATTGGGTCCATATTGTTAAAATACTAATTCAAAATATTTGTTCGGGAGGATGCAGACGTATGGACACATGGTGGTGATACACATCTTTGACCTCTGTCTTATTTTAGTGCAATGACAGAAGAGATCCCTGTGCCTGTATGATGCCCCATTGACTTTAACTGGACTTCACATGGAACAAACTGCGGGACTGGGGCCTTTGTTTTTGCTCGGTGCACAAACAAGTGCAGAACATCTGGTGGAAACTGAAGGGGAAAAAAACCAAGTGAAACTGAAAACATAGAAAATCGTTTTCCTTTTCTGGAGATAAAATGAAATCTGAGGATTTTTTGTTTGTTTCTCATATAAAACATTTCACAATACCTTATTTGTGATAATGGTACAGAAACATAGTAAATATCCATTCAAAGCCCAGAATAATGATATAATCCCAGACACAATGCATTAGTTCTTAATAATAGCAACTTTTTTTTTTTTCAGATTGCTACCTACAGTGGGCTGGACAAGACTTTAGTATTCTGAGAGGCACATCAAAGCCTGCAGCATGATATGTGTCTGTATTATGACCATTTTTAAAAGCTCTCTGCCTATCTGTCTTTGTCTTTAAGCAATTTTCTTTACTTCCAGTGGAAAGTTAAGATGTGGGTAGAGACACTAAGATCTGATTTAAGCTCATGAGGTTTTGGTGAAAGCTAGAAGCTCATTATCTTCTGTAATGTGTTGCGGTTTATATCATTGTCTAGCAAAGTAAAATTGAAACCACTGAGTAAGTGCCTTTTCCCCCTAGCCTGTGTAAGTGCCTCTTTCCTAATTGAAGACTCAAACTTATTTGAGGAATTGCTTAAATATTCTGGAAAAATATACATCTTCCAGAGCTCAGACTTATCATAAAAAACAGCTGATCTCCAACTTCTAATCAAAATGGGTCATTGCTGCTATAATTAAAATCACTTTATTATAAATGTTGAATTCATTTTTAGGAAATAAGACCAATTACTTCCCAGCATAAGAAATGCTTCTTTTTTATTAAGACATGTAAATCTAATAACTTTTGTCATGGAGTCTTTTCCCATGGAATGCAATGACAGAAGTACTTTCACTGAACAGTACAGCAAATTAGCATTTACAAGGTGGCACCTGCAGACTGATTAGTAACAGACTCCCAGTCCTGTAAAGCCTCCACTGACTTACTCTGTAACTATGGGCAAGTCATCTAACCAGATTCTCAAAGATATTTAGGCTCCTAACTTCCATTGATCCTAAATATCTTTGAAGTCTATGCCTCAAATACCCCATCTGTGAAGTGGGAGTAATATGCATGTTTGCCCTTGAAAATTACTTTGAGGTCTATGAATGAAAAACCACTGTAACAGTGCAATGTAACTTCTTCTGGCTCATGATGTAGGTCCAATAAACTTACTGGAGTTCTCCAGTGCAACTGGGCCTGAATGACTTTTTAATCTAAATCTAGAGGGATGACATTGTTTAAACAAATATAGCATACTAGTGTGTTTATGTAATTCTTATACAAAGACTAAATTGTATAACAAGAAAGATTTAGATGTTTTAACTGATTTTGTTTGTATGTGGATGCTCGATACAGCAAAGCCTCTGTCTTATTTCTTTAGAACTTTCTCTCTAGAGTTTGAAGCCATTGGAAAGTGTAGAGACATAATTTCAGGTATCGGTTTTTCTATATCAGACTGCAACTGTTTTGTACACCATTTTTCACTGTGAATGGTTCTGTAGTTTCAAAGCAGTATTTTGAAGGAATAGGTTCATTTGTTTTGTTCAATAGGTTTCTTGCCACACGTGTTTGTGAAATTCTTTTTACTTTCCATTCAGTGTTTTCTCTAGTGACTGCTTTTGCTATATCTCTGTTTATTTTATAACCAGTGACACAGATATTTTCTCGTTTGGATGCTTATTGAACTTGTGTTGATGCCTGACACATTCTAGTGAACTCCTAAACATTCAGCATAATAATACCGGCTTTGCAGTTGTAGTTCATTCTGTACTCTATCTAAGTGGCATCTTATCTCTTAATTTGCAGAGGGTAACAAAGGCTCTGTCTTTCTTTGGCTGCAAAGGTTTGACTTTTTTAAACTAATGTTCTTCTTGAAACCTGTTTCAACAAAATATACACTAAAGGGACCTGAATCACCACTGTATTATTGCACTTTTACACCATTGTAACCTCATTGAGATCAATGGAGTTACACCAATATAAACCTGGAGTAATGTGTGATGAAACAAGCCCTTACATTCTAAGCTGAAATAGCAGCCTTGCTTTTTCGTTTGTTTTTGATTTTTTTTCTTTTTTACATAAGCATTTAAAATGCTGCTGCTACTAGCCGTGCTACTGGAAGTTGGTGTAATCTCTATTTCTGTAAAATATTTACTGCATATATATTTGATTATCACTAGAGGTGGTTCAGAATCAGAAGTTCAAATTAAAACCTCACCCCACTGAATTTCAGTATGGGCATTTGAGTGTGTGAGATTCAAATCCCCTGCTCAGATTCCGAGCAAAATCAGGGCTAGGAGTCAGGTTAAATGGGGATTAAACTTGGTGAATCCATCTTGCCAGATTTCAATACAAAATGACAGAAATTTCAGGACATCACCTGAACCAGCAGGTCTAGTCTCTCCAAAGGGGGTAGGAGAATGGCAACATGAGAGCAGACTATGGCTTAGTACCCCTGCTGCACCAAAGAGTGGAGCTGATGCAGGTTAAGGAGTAGCATACACCCAATGATCATTTGGAAACAAGAGTCATATGATCTCGGGTCTCTCTACTTGAAATAGCATGGAGTATATCATTCACGTGGTACATACTCTTATTTTAAACTAGAAGAAATCAAAACAAACTCCATTAGATTAATTTACATTTCACTGATTAATGGAGCATAGTTGTCAGGAGTAGTGATTTATTGGAACTGGCATAGTTCAATCCTATTTGTAAATGTTGAAGTTCCTGGACAGCAACAGTGAGTGTGAATTTAGTATCTGTATTTCACCAAAAACTGTGCTGCCAAGTAATTTTCTCTTTCATATGACCAATGGCATTTGCACTGCTGTTCTGTTCGAAAATCAATTAACATGATTGTAATAACTACCACAATGTTGCCAGTCAGCAATGGGAGTAAGAGATAGATCATCTAAAGGAGCAGAGACCATTATTTAATTTGGATGCTTGCATGGGAGATGTCTCATCATTGTTGTGGTGGCTAGAATACCTCTCATATTTCAAAAAGCAACAGAGGGTCCTGTGGCACCTTTGAGACTAACAGAAGTATTGGGAGCATAAGCTTTCGTGGGTAAGAAC